CTGCTATTTGCAAGTTGTTACTACTAGCTGCTGCTATTGTTGTTGTCTCTTTGCTACTATGGTGACTTATGTTTCCTTTAGAGACGAAGTTGATTTTCTTTTTGTTTTGATTATTAGATTGTTTATCCAAACGAACAAATTGGTGTTTATGGATTATGTTTTTAAAAAAGAATTATGAAATTGTATTAATTCAAATTATAGTCTATCGTATATTTTAGTTTCATATTCTTGGTTGTTGTACATGTTAATATTATTTTTATATTTAAAAAAAATAAAAATGTTGCATATTTTAAATAATCATAGTAGTACTTATAATAATAATATATTACTTAATAATTAATAATATATTACATTAATATATAAAAAATGATACATAATATCAAATAAAATGTTATTATATATCAAAAAATGATTAAAAAATGTTATTATATATCAAAACATGATTAAAAAATATTACCTAATAATCAATAAGGTGATACATTAGTTTGGAAAAGTGATACACAATGTCAGATAAAGTGTTACTATGTGATGAAAAAATGATACTAAAGGTAAGTAAGTGTTACATAAGAAATAAAAAGTAACACTTTAAAATGATACTAATAATATAAAAAGTGTTACATAAGAAGGTTTATAGTAACACTTTAAAAAGTGTTACCACATGTTACCCAAAGTGTTACATAAGATCTTAGGTAACATGGGCGGATGTATCACTCACTAAAGTGTTACCTATTGTCTATAATAACAATTTTACCATTTTATGTAACACTTTTTGGGTGTTACTTAAGGTTAGTTATGTACTAGTGTTTCAAGCCTTGCCTAATGTGCTCGCTTCGGGATTGTAATGCCTAAATTTTTTTGTGTCGTTTTAAATTCAAACCCAATTTTCAAATTAAATTTCGAGCATTCGAATTATTTTTTATTCCAACTTAACATTTATTCAATTAGGTGCAACATCTAAATTATCAACAAGATCCAATATTTTAATAATTTTAGGGTTATTTGAACTAATAAGAAATTAGGGTATGCTTCATAATTAAAATTAACTCATCTCATGATTAATTAAATTATGATTTTTTAACAAACTAACCAAATAAATAATTTTACCATCCAATGAAAAAATCACTTTTCAATTAGAACCAAACAAATTCAAAATTTTAAATCATCCAATGTATTAATATATGGGATTTGTTAAACATCACCCGCAAATTACCATATAAAGCCCACAAATATGACATGGTGTGACCATTATGCTCATTTTCTAAAATTGAACAAATCTCGGTTTAAAAAATGTGGAGCCGTAACGGCTCGCTGGGGGAGACCGGAGGGCAGGCCGGAGATGCGGGGGACGCCGGAGGTACGTCGTCGTCGACGGAAAACGAGGTAAGTCACCGTTAAAATTCACGGTTAACCGTAGGAGTGGCTCCGGCGCCTAGGATGGACGCCCTAACCGTAGCCTGGACGTCCAAGCCAGACGCCATAACCACCACAGTGGCGTCCAGCCCAGACGCCCAGACCACCAGACTGGCGTCCTGGCCAGGCGCCACTCTACTGGCTGAGGCGGCCCTTCCAGGCGCCAGTCCAGTGGTTGTGGCGGCCCTGGCAGACGCCACCTTATAATTTTTTTTGTTTTTTTTTTCTTTTTTTCTTTTTTGATTTTGTTGTTTTTTTAAAAAAAAAAATCGAAAATGATTTTTTTAAAAAATTCGAAATGGGTTTTTTTAAAATTAATTTTGAAAATTCGAAATAGGTTTTCTTAAAATTAAGTTTGAAAATTTGAAATGGTATTTTTTTAATTTTACTTTGAAAATTCGAATTGGGTTTTTTTTAAAAATTAAGTTTGATTGTTGAGAAAGGTTTTTTTTTCTAAAATTAAGTTTGACAATTCGAAATTGTATTAAAAAAAAATTGGAAATTGTTTATGTAACTTTTATAAATGATTGTGTTTAAAATTTGTATGTGTATGTGTATGAATAATATTATACATAATTATGTTTTTTTTTTGTTAATTCTGTGTAAATATAGAAATTAAATGTATTATCCGTTAAATGTATTTATTATAATATATAATTGATGCAGGATTATGGTGGTGACGGAAATGATTACAGTGGGATATTTGGACATGATGGTCCATTCGAAGAAGCTCAACAAGCGATTGATTGGGCAAAACAGGTTGCAACTGCAGCTGGATTTTGCTTGGTAGTAGTAACTCATAAATCTCAACGGGATGGTAAAATGGATCGCATTTTGAGATGTGACTGTTATCGCAAAAGAGAAGAAAGAGATTTTCGTACAACCACTCGGTTTGATACAAAGCGGAAAGGTTGTGGGTGTGAGTTCAGAGTAAAGGTCCGACAACTACGGAGTCGTGACGGTTGGGAAGTGATTGGTTACTCTAAATGGGGGTATCACAACCATGAGATGATAGTATATGAAGAGGGTCATCGACAGCTGAGCGGCTTAAGTCCTGCTGCGAAACTAGTTGTGAAAGAAATGAGTGATGCTCAAGTCAAGCCTGCTAAAATATTAGCATCTGTGTTAGAGAAATTTCCAGAAGACCATCCAAACCGAAGACACATCTACAACGTCAGACAGAAACTCAGGTTTGAACGGTCAGAGGGAAGGAACCCTATACAGCAGCTGCTACACCAGGCACAATCACGGGGTTACCTATTCTGGTTTGATTCTGATAAAGATACAGCGGAGGTGACTCATCTTTTCCTTGTGCATCCTGATTGTGCTGATATGATCAAGTCTTGGCCATTTGTGATTTTGATCGACTCAACGTACAAGACAAACAAGTACAAGTTCCCACTGGTTGAGATCATGGGGATGACTCCAACAAACCAGAACTTTCTGATTGGTCATGCAATCATCAAGGATGAGACGGCTCCAAGTTATTATTGGGTCTTGGAGAAGCTGAGAAACTACATCGGGCCTAATGTTCATCCAGCAGCCATCGTCAGCGACTGTGAGGGAGGTCTCTTTGCCCCCATAGCAGAGTTGTTTCCAGAATCGAACCACTTATTGTGCACATGGCACATCAACAACTGCGTGAAAGTGAAAGCCTACAACCTTTTCAACAAGAATTTGGAAATGGCAGAGAGATTGGTAAATGGTAAGTGGCGGAAGATCCTACAGGCTACCACAGAGGAAGCGTACGAGCGAGAATTAGCTAACTTCAGGGATTCGTACCAATGGTGTCCGACACTGGTGGACTATGTGATGCAGCAATGGGTCCCTCACAGGCAAAAGTTTGTCAAATATTGGACAAACCAGGTACTTCATTTCGGGAACACTACAACATGTAGAGTTGAGAGTGCTCATAGAGCTACCAAGGACTGGATTGATTCATCGACCGCTGCTTTGGATACACTGTTCGATAGACTTAACAAGTCAATTTAAACTCAGAAGAACGACATCAGGAACTCTCTAGAGGACTCCAGACGACGACATGGTACAATGTATAGCCATTTCATATTTAAGATTCTCCATGGTCGTGTGTCGCACTACTGCTTGGGGTTGATTCTCACTGAGCTGAACAGGATGAGGGACTTGGCTGACGAAGTGTATGCTCGGTGTGGGTGTGCTATTTCAGTAACTCATGGATTACCTTGCGCATGCACCATTCACCACGTTATTACAAAAGAAAGGGCGTCATTACATGTTGATCAGGTCCATTCATTCTGGCGGACGCTCGTTATTGGTGAGCATGCAGATACTCAAACGGTCGACCGTGAACAGGAGGAGTTGGAGCAGTTTCGTTCGATGTACGACCGAGTGTCCTCCAGCCATCCTTCTATTATTCGTGACGCTACTCATGTACTTCATGACATGTTCCACACGTCTACCTTAGATTTTGAGGAACCCGAAGGAGTTGACCGTCCTCGAGGTCGCCAACGGCGGAACAGGAGTGCGTTTGAGTATATCCGTGGTCTTGGTCGTGGTTGTGCTCGTGGTCGGACTTCGTCATCTAGTCGTAGTCAATCTTCATCGTCTATGAATATGCCCCTGAGAACTGGTACGTTTTGGTTTTTTACATTGCACATTGTTTATAAGGTTACTCCTGCCTTCTTAACTGTGTTTATTTATATGGTGAATAGGAAGAAACAATGTTGATCAGTTTCCGTACAAGGACAGGATACCTGCGATCATCATGCCGTACTTGGAAGGGTGGACTGATGTAGTCGGAGATGGTAACTGCGGATTCCGGGTCGTGGCTGATGTTTTTCAAATGGGCGAAGACAACTACGGTTTGGTGCGTCAGTTGATGTACAGCGAAATTGCCTCTAACCGAAATGTTTATCGTCATGTGTACCAGGATGACTTGGATGGTGCTCTGCGGCGTATCCGGTGGGGAGGTGGACCTTGCGGCCAAAATCATTATTTTGACGCGCCCCTAGATTTGTTTGTCGTTGCAAACATTTACAAGTGCGCAGTCATGCATTTCGGCCTGGGATTGCATAGTCAAGCTTATTATCCTTGTACCATGGTTCTCCCTTGGCGTTCGCGTGAGATTGTCACCACACCGGTTAGAGAGGTAGCTATTGCGTTTCTTGGGTCGTCATACAGACATTTCATCCGACTAGACATGTCATCCGATTTTCCAGTGCCACCGATTATACCTCGGTGGTACACCATTCGCACAGCGAGCGTAGAGGGTTGGGATGCGCTATACCATGACCGGATCCACGAATGGAACACCCTAGCTGCATTTTAGTTTTTCATGTTTACATTCTTCCTATGTAATCTTATTCGTACGTTGCTCTTTTAATGAGAACATTAATTTTTTATACTGTATTGCTTACTGCATTCTATATGTTGCATGGGTAAGTTGCGCGGATCCACGAACGGTTATGTCAAAATTTAAAAACTGCAATGATAATATGTCAAAGTTGAAAGCTAAAAGAACAATCTAAAATGTTACAAACTTAAAACATAATGTCCAATTTAATAAATTAAAACGATAATATTTAAAGTGCTCTATAAATAAAATGACAAAACCATCAGTAATCCCTCCTCGACGCCGACTCCTAATGCGCAAGGGTCTGTTCCAGACTATCAACAACAGCTCTCACTGTTGCACTCATGTTGTCCTTCTCCAGAGAGAGTTTCTGTACGTCCTGCATTATCTTTCCCATCCACTGCATACAACAAAAAATAAAAGATGAAATATAATAACAACATATAAAACTTAATTAAAAACAACGATAAATATTTTATGAGACATACCGCTTCCATGGCAGTAGGCGGTGGCACATAATCATCATCGCTGTGGTCGAGATCTGCGATCAACCTCAGGTCTGAATACCGGTTGAACCATTCCATGTAGTAGTGGTCACACATGGGAGGAACCCCAGAGGGCGGCCTCTGCAACTCTGCAGTCCATAAGCGGGCCACCATCGAAAACTGGTCCCACGTCCCATTCATGATATCCGGCCATTGCACGACGTAGTCCCTCGACGATGCAGGTCGGACCGCCTTCATCGGGCATGCCGGGGGAGGAGGGACAACTTGGACAAATCCAAGCTGGCGAAGACAACGGTGGGGCATGTACGCCTCGACGATCTCACGATACTGAATGAGTCACGTGTACATGGTCCTGGGTACCCTAACACTAGCCGACCCCCAGGAAAACTAGCCTACACTGTCGGGGTCACACGCCTCTACTATGTCGCGTGGCCTGAGCTTGTTTCCGCCGCTCTTATCCGGAAACAAGGTACATCCGAGGAGTAGAAAAACATAAGCACTCAGTTGTGCGTCGTGCGTCCTACGTGCACTAGGGTACAAACACCGCTGCAACACGGATGCGATCTTCACACCGCCGTGTTCCCTAACACCAAGCGCCTCGGTGTACAATGCAGCCCTGTCCACCGCCAACAACTCCGCCAGTAAATCAGCCTGATCCGCATCAGCCACAGCACAAAGTCGTTTACCCTCAACACGAATCCCCAGAATGGCCTCGACGTCATGTAACATGATCGTCATCTCACCGAACGGAAGGTGGAAAGAGTTTGTAACCGGCAGCCATCGCTCAACGAAAGCCGTGATAAGCGTACTGTCAATCTTATCGTGCATGGTGGCAGGAACGTGATTCACCCCACTGCGCTTTAAAAAAACGCCACAACCGTGGCTATGGCGTTCAGCCCATGCGCCAGCCTACTGGTTGCGGCGTCTGCAGCTGGCGCCACCACCACTGGCTGGGCGTCCAGCCAGGGCGCCCCACCTCCGTCACGGCGGTTTTCAATTTTTTTTTTAAGAAATTGTACCTTGCCTCCTTGAGACCTCCTTCCCTCCGCCGCCGCCGCCAATTCCTTGCCTTGCTGCCTCGACATTGTCGTAGTTTGAATTTTTTTTTTAAGAGATGTTGAAAGAAGATGAGCGATGAGAGTGTGAGTGATGAGAGTGTGAGTGTTTTTTTTTTTAGGTCAAGGGCAATATTGTCAAATCAAGTGAATTTTGTGTGCTTATGTGGAGATTTGCGGGCGATGTTTAGCAATCCATTAATATATTCGAACTCAACATGAATAACATGAATTTTCAATAATATTCCAAAATTATCAAAAATTTACTTTTTTTTCAAACTAGGGTTTTAGCCATCAAAAATTAAAACAACTAATTTAATCAAAGTTTTAATGTTTTGAACATAAGGAGATTATTAATAAGGAATCATAGTCTAACAAAACCAAATTACTCAAAAATCAATCCAATTGTAATTTTAAGTAACATAATGGTTTATGTGGATTTAGGGCTCTCTAATTTAATCATCAAAAAATTATCCAAATTTTAGGAAAAATTATAACTTCAGTGTCGTAGATTAATCATAAAAATTAATCCCATAACCAACATGACATGTAATAATTAATTAAAATCCAAAAGATTTAAAATTTCTTCGTTCCAAACGAAAAACCCTTTGAAAAAATGTTTCTAGGCAGATTTTTGCTTATAATCGAGTTTAACTACAAAGTAGGTAGAGTCTGATTTAGAATGTTGTTTCACCCCAAAAATTATTAGTTTTATGTTCGATTCTTGGTTGTTCTCAAATAAGTGCATTAATTCGAAGTTTAACCAATGAAAAATCAAAAACCTAATCTAATTAGGTGCATAATCTTGATTTTAATTTAATTTTAAATCCCTTAAATAATTTTAATCAAAATAATTAAATATAAGAGTCTCGTGATACCGCTGTAGGGTTTTACGTTAATCTAATTAACGTAAGGAACATAAAACTTACGGCAATTTCATGAAATGCCACTGAGTACTTAAACAATTCACCAAATGCCATCGCGTTTTTCAAAATTCACCAAATGCCACTGAGGTTTAGTACAATATCATCATATGCCATTTCCGTTAGTTGACCGTCAGTGCCCATTAGTTGACCGTTAGTTGACCCTATAACTTGCCACGTGTCACCTTATGATTGGACCGTTTTAAAAAAAATAATTAAATATAAATTAAAAAAAAATTAAAAAAAACCAAAAACATTTAGAAAAATTAAAAATAATAATAAAAAAAAAAAGAGAAAACCCCAAACCCTAGCCACCACCCCAGCAGCCACCAGCCCTCCCCACCGTCGATTCTCCCCGACACCCTAGAAGATGCATAAGAAGAAAACCGACATGACAAATCATATTACACCCAAGAACAATCTAGCAATTTAAAACAAAGGGGAAATAAGCATCGGACAATCCAATCGCAGTCCAAACTTGATACCCATAAACAGTAATTGATGAAACGAGGGTTGTGAAAATGATTGCAAGAACCTGATACGATTGCGAAAAGTCTAGCCATAGAAAGGAGGAGAAGATTAGGATGGAGTGGATGAAAAGGTGGTGCGCCAGAATTAATTCCGTATAGCTTACTCACTCAATATGGAGCTACATATACCTTTCGGAGTTTCTAAACTTTCTTCCTCGAATTGGAACAATTGAAACTGATGTTCTAAAATAAAATTGAATTGGCAAATCGGGGTAATTTGCGACTGCAAATTGATTCTTGTTGCTGTTGGATGAGCGAAGTGTGCTGGGCAGCTTCCGGCGTTGATAATGAGGGGCGAAGTTGTTGCTTAGTGGTTGAAGGGGCTGTTGCAACTTTTGATTGTGTTAATTATTGTGATGTTGCTGATAATTAAAGTGTTGCAGGCTGAATTTGTTTTTCTGCATTTGTGGCCATTGATGCGAATGGTGCGAGATTGGTGGAGGAGATCTCGGCGGCGGTGGAAAGGAAGATGCAGGAGAAGATGGTGATGGAGATTGAGGCCATTGCTTCTTCGAGAATATTCAGATAAGGTTCTTAATTGCAACAATGATGCAGCTGGGGTATTGGGGAGAATCGATGATGGGTGGGGATTGGCAAGGCGCCGACGTGCAAGGGTTGTTCGGGCGCCGATAGTGGAGGGGGAGGAGAGAGGGTGGTTGGGCTGCTGGGGTGGTGGCTAGGGTTTGGGTTTTTTTTTTTAATTTTTTTAATTTATTTTTTTAAATATTTTTGGTTTTTTTTAATTTTTTTTATTATTTTTTTTAAATAACGGACCAATCATAAGGTGACACGTGGCAAGTGGTGGGGTCAACTAACGGGCACTGACGGTCAACTAACGGAAATGGCATATGGTGATATTGTACTAAACCTCTGTGGCATTTGGTGAATTTTGAAAAACACGATGGCATTTGGTGAATTTTTTAAATACTCAGTGGCATTTCATGAAATTGCCGTAAAACTTATCTTTGGACCCATGCATAATTTTAACAACTAACTTAAACACGAAGGAGTTGAGAATTATACTTTTGATGAATGCTTCAAACACGGAACGAGCTAAAGGACCGCAACCATAACCCTTCTAACATGATCCACCCACACGATAAAACCCGGCAGAAGATGCTAGCTAAGAACGACAGTATCAAGAATATTAGATTCTAGGTTGTCACTCTTAAATGAAGATCTCATAATCACATACTTGTGTGAAATCCTCTCAAAAGCATGGGGTATTTATAGAGGAGGATAACCCATTTAATCCCAAAATCCTAGGTGGGAAAAACCCAATTATTTTTATTTAAAAACTAAATTAATTAGCAAGCAATGAATAAGCGACTCATGGCTGCAAAACAAGGGGGTTAGGTGGGAGGACAACCCATATGCTTGGGGGGTAAGAATAGGGCAGCCCAGCCACCTCGCATAATGGGCAGCGTGCTTGGCTGCTTCCCGGTCTTAGGCAGCAAGGCTTAACTTGATGGCAGCCTTACGCCCCAAGGATTGCGCTCCCAGCTAGGCCGCCCTCGCAAGGCTTGGCATGATGTCAGCCTTACTTGCGGCATGGTCAGCTCTCGAACAGGCTAGCTAGCGCGCTAGGACTTATGTTGGCGTGCTGCTCGAATGGCGTAATAATATGTTGGGAGTTTGCGGCAGGCATCTAACCAGCCCACGCAAAAGGTTAATAGCGCACTGGGCCTTGTGAAAGTGTCATTGCTTGGCCTTCCTCTACGCGCGTGGTGCGAAAAGGCCTCATGCTAGGCGTATGAGCCTAGCACGTTAGGGAGCTTAATGTTAATCCTTGTTTAGTCAATCCCTTAGATTAACTTAACGTTTAACGCTCGGTTTCGATGCTCCAAGCTCAAAATCCAACGATTTAGTCTAAAATATATTTATAGACGTATTTAGGCCTTTCGGCTCAATCTGTCTTTAATTTCGGTTTGATTTTGCGCTTGGGTATGATCCATTAGGTTCAATCAAGCGCAAGCTGTGAGATTAATATATTAGTCTTAGTAATCACAAGCGACCTCCAGCTAGGCATTCTAATCACTTGATTTCACTAAATAATTAGCTCCGTCATTAACTCTGAATCATCTATTAGTATAATATACTTGTTTGAAGGACCATTCTTTTCACAGAAATCTTGGCAAGCCTGTGTTAAAAGAAGGCTTTAGATATGCATCCTAGCTCTCGGCAGTCGAGGTTCTCGACCATGCACCTCTCTCGGATGCAAACTTGACGTAGGGAAGGGTCGAACCACAAGGAACGGTTATGTTCAAGTGCTTTTAATTAACGCCTAAGCTAGGTCGAAGTCAAGGGTGAAGAATTGAGTAAATAAAACTAATCAACTACCAAAACAAATAATCAAACAAATGAAACACTAGGGAATAGGGATCAACATGTAATCATGACAACTGAAACAAGTTAGGAAGGTTAAGTCAATCAATGGTTGTGAAGACTAATGGAAAGAGCTATCAATTAAAATCAAAGAGCTATCACCTAATCGTCATGCTAGATCTCCAATATGAATGACAAATTAGGAGAATCACAATTTAAACCAATCAATAATTGCAAAACCTAAATTGAGTGGTAATGTCATTAGGATTTATAATGCAATCTAGCATAGTTCTCAAGGCGTAATCAAACTAAGCACATGCAAACTTCCATTAATCAATTTAATCTCAAC